GGTGAGCCGCGCACGAAGCCCCCACGACTGTCACTGTAAGAGAAGACGGGCCTCCACACCAGGGAGCCGTAACCGAAAATCCACAGAGCTGGGGGGTCGCTGTCATTCCGGGGATGCTGCGCACAGGGCGACGGGGATGGCGAGGAGGGCGGGGTGTTTGGGACTGCAGATTCCTGCTTCATGGTGCCGGGCGCAGGGACGGGCCCGGGCGTCCTCCAGGGCTGGTCTCCGGGACGGGCACGGAAGGACCGACGGACGCGCACACCTGGCCTGGCACCGTTCGGTCGCTCCAGCTGAGCTGACCCTACAGAGGTGCCTTTTAAACCCTCCGACCGGGAGGCCCCGCCCTTCGCGGCCAGCTGCCGCGGTGATTGGGGCGGGGCAAATCCCCTTTTCGCCAATCACTCGCAGATCTTGCTTCTCAATTAATCGCGCCGTCCTCTGAATGGGTGGCTGAACGGCCGGCCTCGGGCCCAGCGCGCCTGCTGATTGGTTCTTCTCCCCCGCGGTAGCAAACCTGGCAGAAGTGATGCAACGGCTGGGGAGGTTTCCCCAGAGCGGGCATATGCAGCAAGGGCGTCTCGGATTGCATCAGGCGCCGAGCTGTGGGCACAGACCGGGCACGGGCTGGACAGCGGCGTGGGCCCCGAGTGTCTCCTTGGCAGCTCCTCCATGACCTGGGGTCCGCCAGAGCCACTTGGGTTGGTCTCAGGCAGTGCCTTCCCAGCTGTCCTGGCCGTGCACCTGGCCGAGTCACTGCCACCCGAGTCAGCAGGGGCTCAGTCCCGGAGCCAATGCAGGACGCGTCCAGAAGGAGCGCTGTGTGGCATAAACTCACGTCTCTGGCGCTCCGCCTAAGAGTATGCAGTGTGGGTAAGCTATTGGAAGCACTCTCCGCATTCCATTCAGGTGCCTCAAGCCGCTGGCCCGCGTGAGCAAAAGGAGAAACTGAGTCATAGGGACAGCCAGGAGTTCTGCAGAGACTGCCTGGGCTGAGTCAGGCTGGGTGCTTCTAGCAGGCTGTTTTCACGTGAGGGCTACGCCTGGGGCCAGACGTGGGACCCGCTGAGCCCAAGTAGCTTCAGGAAGAGCGCCTGAACCGACTTTGTGGGAGCCATCATTGGCTGTGGTGGCCACACCTGCACAGAGAGGCCACAAAGACAGGAAAACCAGGCCAGTCTTTTCTGGAGACAGGGGTTTAATTGTTATCAGACATGGCATTTTGCAGCAGCATCATCTCTAGACACCCAGGTTCTGGGATTGGCGGACAGTAGAAGCCAACTGAGGTCCCCAGGGGGTTGTGAACAGCTACAGGCCTTCTGCCTCAGCTACTGGCTTCCAGGAGAAGGGTTCACAAGCCTCCAGAGGTTGACCCCCTAAGCAGCAGCAAGAGGCTGCTCCACGAGGATGAATCTGGCTGGCAAAGGGAAACGGACAGCTGAAGGTGTTTCCTCGGTGGAACTGGCTCCAGGAGATGGCTATCCAGGTCTGGGGTGAGCCCTCTGGCAGAGAAAATGAACAATATTACTTCTCATTGGAGCCATGGCTTGTTGGTTAAGATAGCCAGACCCTACGTGGCCAACTCTGGTTCCAGGACAGACCAGTGACTTAAAAAGCATGCCAGGCACATGTGCGTATGTGCCCAAGTTCCTGACAAAATAGAGAGATGGGGAGAAGGGATCACGCGTGGGATTGTGGCAAGACCATTCCGTATTGGAGTACTTTCTCCCTCTCTCTCTTGTTTCTCTCTCTGATGAGTGCTGGCACCCTCTGGCAAAATTACTTTTAAAAGTTATCTGCGGGAACCAGCAGTTAGCTTAATGGCTATGTCGCTGGACTCCCACGTAGGCGACCGCGGTTCGCGTCCCGGACCAGGTGGCTTAAAACTCACACTGGGCACGTGTGCGTGCGTGCCCAAGATCCCGAGAGGAGAATGGAGGAGAAGGGATTGCGGCGTGACCATCCCCCCTGGGGGGTGATTTCTCGCTTTCTGTCTCTATGTCTCTCTCTGTCTGTCTGGCAAGTGCACGTGCCCTATAGCGAAAACCTCTCCAAAAAAAAAAAAAAAAGTTATCTGCACATGGGGACTAGCAGTTGGCGTAACGGCTATGTAGCTGGACTCCCATGTAGTTGACCACGGTTCGAGTCCCAAATCCAGTGACTTAAACTCATACTGAGCACATGTGCTTGCAGGCCCAAGATGAGACTGAGGAGAAGGGATTGTGGTGTGGCTATCTCCCCTGGGGGTGATTTCTCACTTTCTGTCTCTCTGTCTTTTTCTTTCTGACAAGCGCATGTGCCCTATAGCAAAAAACAAAAACTTCTCCAAAAAGAAATTACCTGCACACTTCACGTAATCGTTTCAAACATCTCTCAGATATATTCAACAGTGGGAAGGAGTGGGAAGGTTGCTTAACTTATGTGTTATCTGAAGCTTTTTTTCTTCTTCTTCCTTTTCTTTATTCATAATAGAACAAGTGTGCACGCCAGCAAGAGAGACTCTCCCTCCTCTAGTCCTCTACCGCATGGGGTCTGGGTCTGGGTCCTGGCTCACGTGCCCAGGGTGTCAAAGGCTGCGCCAGCTAGGGATGCCAACCACCATCACTGTGTGAGATCTGCCTTCTCTCTCTTTTTTTTTTTTTTTTGGAGAGGTTTTTGCTATAGGGCGTGTGCGCTCGCCAGACAGACAGAGATACAGAGAGACAGAAAGTGAGAAATCACCCCCCAGGGAGGATGGTCACGCCACACTCCCTTCTCCTCCGTTCTCCTCTCGGGAACTTGGGCATGCACGCACACGTGCCTGGCGTGAGTTTTAAGCCACCTGGTCTGGGACACGAACTGCAGTCGACTATGTGGGAGTCCAGCAACATAGCCATTACGCTAACTGCTGGTCCCCGAGATCTGTCTTCTCTTGAACAGTATGATTACTACAATGAGTACATTAACATTTGCATCAGAAATAATCAAAGAACATACCTAAATTGTTAGCAGAGGCTGCCACTAGAGGAGGAGTTTTTTGTTTTGTTTTGTTTTGGTTTTGAGGAGAAGGACTTTTAATATAAATGTAAACATATATGAAAAAGCTTCCTTTTTATTTTTTTTTTAGAGAGATTTTTGCTGTAGAGTGTGTGCACTGGCCAGAGAGATAGAGAGAGACAGAAAGTGAGAAATCACCCCCTGTGGGGATGGCCACACTGCAATCTCTTCCCTTTCATTCTCCTCTTGGAACCTTGGGAAGGCACGCACATGCACACGCACCCTGAGAGTTTGTTTTTTCTTTTTAAGAGAGATTTTTGCTGTAGAGTGTGTGCACTGGCCAGAGAGATAGAGAGAGACAGAAAGTGAGAAATCACTCCCCAGAGCGACTGGCCACACCACAATCCCTTCTCCAGCCTCCTCAGGATTTTGGGCATGCATGCACACACACCTGGCATGAGGGTTTTTTTAAAATTATTTATTTAATTTTATTCATTTATTCATTTAAATTTGACCAGAGAGAGACACAGAGAGAAAGAGAGAGAGATAGAAAGTGAGAAAGCAAGCCACCAGGTCCGGGACTCGAACCATGGTCAGCCATGTGGGATTGTCCAGCCCCTCAACCACCACACCATCTGCTGGTCCCCTGGCATGAGTTTTTAAGTGGCCGGGTCTGGGACTCGAACTGAGTTTATTACATGGGAGTCGAATGATATAACCATTACTCCATCTACTGGTCCCAAGCTTCAATTATTTTTTTTTAAGAGGTTTTTGCTATAGGGCGTGTGCGTTCAGCAGAAAGACAGAGAGACAGAGAGACAGAAAGCGAGAAATCACTCCCCAGGGGGGATGGCCACACCACAATCTCTTTTCCTCTATTCTCCTCTCAGGATCTTGGGCATGCACATGATCCCAGCGTGAGTTTAAGCCACCGGGTCTAGGACTTGAACCGCGGTCAACTACATAAGAGTCCAGCGACATAGCCATTACGCCAACTGCTAGTCTCCTCGATTTTTTTTTAAACAAAGGAGAATGAATTACATTTTTAAGCACAAGGAAGAATATAGGCGAAATTATATTTCTAGTCAGTCCTTTCTCTTTCTCTTTCTCTTTCTCTCCATTTCTCATGGTCACGCTTCTTTTGTTTCTGTCCAGCCTCTGTAGTCCGTAAGAGACCTCCTTTGCTGCTGGCTTCTTAGAATATCACCTTCTCTGCTCACGCCTTGGGGCAGTGGGCTGGGAGAGACAGACTGGTACGGACACATTGCTGCAAACATCTGAATTGACTCAACCTTTAAAGAAAGCAGTGTGGCGATACAAATCAGGAATCATACAATGTCTGTGTACTTTGACCCATACTTCCACTCCAGGAAATTATTCAAAATATGAGAAAAGCCATACGCCTGATGATTTTTGGTGCATTGTTATTTATTATAGCAAAAACAAAAGAAGAAAAGCTACTTTAATATCTAAAAAGAGCTAAATGCTTAAGTAAATTATGGTCAGTTCACACAATGGAAAAAATATACATGCACAGAGGAAACTACTTAAATTTCCAGCCATGGCTAGTTATATAAACCTGATAATGGCCCATGAAGTCTGTGCAGCCATTAGAAACAATTATGTCTCAGACTTATTGACATGGAAATGTATCTATAATGTATGAAATTAAGTGAAAAAGCAGGCTATAAAGTAACCTAATGATGGGACCAGTAGTTGGAGTAATGGCTATGTCGCTGGACTCCCATGTAGTCAACAGCGGTTTGAGTCCCAGATCCAGCGGCTTAAACTCACACCGTGTGTGTGTGTGTGTGTGTGTGTGTG